AGTTGAATCATTTTCTTTCTCATTAACTTCTTTATTAATATTTTCTTCATTATCATCTTTATCAGAACTAACATTATCTTTTGTATTATTATTTTGATTTGGTAATATAGTCATCGCCAAATCACATGTATTATTAAATATTATACTACAAGTATAGAAGATCGTATCTAAAAATCTTTGTAATAATAACTTATCTTTTTCTAAAATCTTCTTTGCACTAAATTGAAAGCATAGTTTTTATATTTAATACAACTTATAGTGATACTAACATTTTTAGTATATGCTGCAAATAGACAAATAGTATAGTATGTTTTGTTTTTACTTTTTTTGCTTTTTTTTTTTGGTTCAGAAATTATAAATGAAGGTCTATAGTTTTCTGACATTCACATACTATATAACTTTTCAAATGATATATAATGCAAGTTATTTCCAGATACTAGATCTAAGAGGCAATGCAGTTTCTCAAAATTTTCTAGCAAATAACAAGGTAGATAACAAATAGAGTAAGATATTTCATCATATTTTTTGATCAAAAAAAAGTAATGTTTTATAGTACAACAGTAGTTAAAAATTCTTGTAATCATAGCTAAATATATGTTATAATTATTATTATTATTATTTTTTTTTTATTTATTTTTAAGGTAGCTTACATTGCCAGGCAATTTTTATTAATTTGATATATGAGGTCCTACACGGGGTTCTCTACAGTTTTCAGTTATATGAAAAGTATACAACAAGCCATATGTACAACTTTAGTCATTGTCTAATTTAAGTAGTCCACTATGCAGGTGTTAGACTACCTATTAGTACTACACTATGCTGCCATACCTACAACTCGCCTGTGAGTTACCTATTTAAACACTCTGTTCAACTAACCTATTCCCATTACAAACTAACTTCACTATAACACCTAACTGCATACACCAGCTAGCTCATTACAGATCCATTTCTTAACACTAGCTTAGGTACTCTTGGGATGCATATTGCTCATATTATGAGTATGCAGAGCTCTGATTAACCTCAAAGCAAATCTACTAGAGCGGCCTGTGCCCATTTCATGAACTCATCTAGCTTAGACCCTTGTAGATATTCATACAACCCCAGTTTCTTCCGTAGCTCTCTACCAGTTTTCTGTATCTATCTTCTCAGATATTTTACAAGGCAGATCCTCCCAAACTAGTTAGCCGCCAAGCCAGGTTGGTATTACTGATCCTTCCTATGGAACAGATTTATACGTACCTAACTTGATCTGCATTTTGATAATAGTTTCCTTTTTGGATCAAGCATTAGCCAGTATGACCATCGAAAGCTGTACTACTTCACCAACTCGAGATTTTTACAATGCAGGTTCCCTGCCTATATATCATTTGTATGTGCATATCATCTTGTGATTAACTGCTACTACACTAATGTTTTTTCCTATTAAGATTTATTTGTATGCGCATATCATCCTGTGATTAACTGCTATCATTCTACCAATGTCCGATTGACTTGATGCAATTTAACTTACAGGGTTACAACTCCAGAAATGAACAGAGTTTACCATAAATTGAGTACAAAGGTTTGGATAATTATTCAAATTCGTTGACAGTGGAATTTGAACCTCAGACCTCTTGTATAGCGGTCTGGTAACCTAACTACTACACTAAGATCATTAGACCTTATTGAGTATATTTAACTAAGAGGGTTTTAACAATGTTTTTAGGGTTTTCTATAGAGATATTATATTGACAACTAAATATTATATCACATGCTACTGCTCTGGCTC